TAAAATAAATAAAAATTAAAAAAAATAAAAAATAAAATAAATAAATACCCTAGCTGCACAAGAATGCCCTTTGTGCTCCAACACCAAGCTCCTGAGAGCTGTACAAGGACAGTGATAGGAAGGCTTCCTTGAAGAAGCCATGGGTAAACCAAACTCTCATGAGTTGAACTAACTCAGAGGGGTGGGAGATTACCCCAGACAGTACATATGGCACACAGAAAGACCAGAGGACAGGATGGAATAGGCAGAAATTGGTAGAAGGCTGGTGTAGAGAAAGCTTTGTGGTGGAGAAAATGAAGGAAGAGAGTTGATAATGGCGGCGTAGGCTATGTCCTGACCCCACAAGGCCAATAAGCAAGGTGAGGACTCGGGTCACTATCAAGAGAAATGGGAAGCTCTCTACAGGGAGATTTTAGACAAGGACATGACTGATAAAATGCTTATTTTAAATTTCTCTGTATGGAGGACAGAGTTAGGAGGTGTGATATTGGACATTTGCGCTCAATAGAACTGGGTGGTAGAGTAGATTTGGAGGGTGCAGGAAAATGAATTGACCTCAGGAACTGGCTGGTGTAACTCTGGAAAACAAAAAAGTGGAAGAGTTGAAGATCTGTAAGAGATGAATGCAAGTCTGTTTTGCACGTAAGAAAGTCCAGTTGCCGAGACACATTATGTAGTCATTTAGAAGTGAGTGTCTTTATGTAAGGCCTGGGCTAAGGATTGATTGCCAGGCTATAGAGCTCAATGCAAAGGATTCATCAGTTCTGAGCCCTTGTCCTTACTTGCTCTTGGAGATAAAGGGGACTTGTCCATGTTGTAGGAAGCCCCTCGGCCTCCAGGGTCTGTAGCTTTGTCAGAACCACACACAGAGCTCGTCCCCAGGACACGTGCCAAGATCTGACTGCACCACTTTCAGCTGGGACCACTGGTTCCAGGGATGCCTCTTACTGCCCTTCCCTCCTTCTCCACTATTGATAAATACAAATCTAACCTTGGCCCTGCTTTGCTGGCATACCTTCCACAGTCTAGTTCTCCAAACGGCCGGACATCAAGGCCCGTAAAGCTAAGGCAGAGCCCTGCTCTAAAATCTCATCTCTGGTTCTTCCCCCCTCCCCACATTCTAGCCATTCCAAACTGTGCATCTTTCTTTTTCTTTTCTTTTGTTTTTGTTTTTGTTTTTTTTGGGTTTTTGCCATAGGGTGCGTACACTAACCAGAGAGAGGGATAAACAGTGAGAGGGAAAGTGAGAAATCACCTCCAAGGAGGGATGGTCATGCACCAGTCCTTTCTCCTCCATTCTCCTGGCGTTTGGATCACGCACGCACAAGCTCTCCTAGCATGATTTTCAAGCCACCGGTCTGCGATTCAGATGATGGTTGACCATGTGGGAATCCAGTGCCTTAACTACCATGCCACCTGCTGGCCGCACAGTTTTCTTTTTCTTTCTTTTTTTTAAAAACAAAAAAAAAAACACAAAAAGAAACCATTTATTTCTTTATTTATCCATTTATTTGTTTTGATTTTCACGACACTGGGTCCTCGACTCAAAAAGCAATCATCCCTGTAGAAATCCAGCACCTTAACTACCACACCACCTGCTGGTCCCCCGACCTCACGTCTTTTTCTTAACAGGCAGAGTTCTGTCATACCTCTCTACCCTTCCTTCTTTTCACCTAGAGAGCTTTCACTTTTTCACTAAAACTGCTCATGCTGATTTATTTTTTTAAGGTTTTTGCCATAGGGCATGTGTACTTGCCAGAGAAAGACAGAGAGAGGTAGTGAAAGGAAAAGTAAGAAATCACTCCCCATGGGGTGGTCTATGCCACAGTCCATTCTCCTGGGCTTGCGCACACATGCACCCAGTGTGATTTTCAAGCAGCCGGTGTGACTTTCAGGAGGCCAAGTCCAGGACTAGAACTGCAGTCAGCCATGTGAGAATCCAGCACCTTAACCACTATGCCACCTGTTGGCCCCCATGCTGACTTTTTTCTTTTAAAGAATCATTTAATTTTATTTATTTATTTATTATTATTATTATTATTTGCTATAGGACATCTGTGCTTACCAGAGAGAGACAGTGAGAGAGAGAGAGAGAGAGAGAAAGTGAGAAGGCAAGCTGCCAGGTCCAGGACATGAACTGTGGTTGACCATGTGGGAGTCTAGCACCTTAACCACCCGACCACCTGCCAGGCCTCCACCGTGCTTATTTTATTCTAAGTACTTATCTCCTGGGCCTGGATTCTAATTCAGTGAAAGTGTCACAGAGCCTAGCCTGCTGTATGGTTCAAGACAGTTCATAGGCTATCTTCATGATTAAGTGAGTTGGAGGACTCCTCTTAAATGACCCGTTTTGGGAAGGCACCTCTTCAGTGCACCTAAAGTACCATATGTACAATGCCACTTAATTCTTTGTTCTTTCTTTTTTTCCTCTTCTCTTTTCTTTTCCCTTCCTTCCTTCTTTCCACTTTTCCTTTCTTTCTTATGAAGACAGTTTTCACAGTGGTCAGTACTGATTTCTCTAATGGGTCATTGGCAAAGTCCTGACACATTCTGCATAGAAAAAACAGAAAAATGCATCGTTACTTTCCCAGTGACCTAATATAACAAACCAAATTATTGGCCTTTTCTACCTGGCTATGACCTATTTCTTTAATCGTATTTCTTACGTTATGATCTTGGTTTCTTTGGTTAAAACATTACAACATTATAAGCATTTACAACAGATGTCCATTACCAAAGCAAGCATCCTGTATTAAGCCTGTGAGCATTTGAACTGCCCTCTTTCCCCTTTTCAGTTTACCTAGATGGAACAAAATCTGAAGAAGACCTTTTTTCACAAGTATATGAAGATCTAATACAAGAACTAGCAAAGCACAAGTGTAAGTATTATACTATCGAAGTGGACGATAAGGAGAAACAACCAGAACAGTAGTTCATTACATACCTAGGAGTGGCATACAGGTGCTGATATGGGAGCGGTTATATTGATTCCTCACTCAGGATAATTCCGAGTTCAGATTTTTTGAGTTCAAATTCAGATTCGGTGTGAGTTAGGGACTTCATTAATTTGTCTGTCAGTTTTTTTATAGGTAAAAATATTTATCCTTTAGTACATATCTTAATGATAGTTGCATCAATTAGTGCAAATTTTGTAGTAGATGGCCATCCCAGTGGGTCTGAAATTATCATTTGGGCAGAGTCTGATGAAAATGAGATGATTCTATTTTGATATGTCTAGAACTCCCCTTTTCCTTTATTCCCCTAAAGATTTTCTGTAAATTTTTTGCTTCTCAAAAATAAACACAGGACTGGGAACCAGCAGTTAGCATAATGGCTATGTCACTGGACTCCCATATAGTCGACCACGGTTCGCGTCCTGGACCCCGTGGCTTAAAACTCTCGCCAGGCGCCTGTGCGTGCATGCCCAAGATCCTGAGAGGAGAATGGAGGAGAAGGGATTGCGGCGAAGGGAGGAGAGGGGGTGGGGGGGGGCCCCCCCCCCCGGGGGGGGGGGGTGATTTCTCACTTTCTGTCTCTCTGTCTGGAGAGTGCACGGGCCCTAAAGAAAAAAAAAAAAACTCTCAAAAATAAGTAAATAAATAAAAAATAAACACAGGACTATAAAAATTATTTAAAGATTGGTTCTTTAAGGTTTTCATGGTAGATATAATCTTTTGCAAGTCACAGAAATCCACCTAGATCTGACTTAAGCATAAAAAAAAGTGCAGGGTGGCATCAGCAGGTGGCGTGGTAGTTAAGGTGCTGGACTCCCACATAGCCAACCACAGTTCGAGTCCCAGACCTGGCAGCCTGCTTTCTCACTTTCTCTGTCAGTCTCGCTCTGGTGAATTGAAAATATATAACAAGAGTAATAGATAGAATTAAATAATTTTTTTTTAAGAAGAAAAGTGCAGGTACAGTGCTTCACACACTCAACTGGATTGAGGAGTTCAAATAGAGTCCTCAAGACTCGGCCTCAATTCTGCTTTCAAACTGTTTATTTTGAAGTCAAACTGTCTATAGAAAGGCATGATATGTGTTAGCAGTACCTCGTCTTAGACTCAAGAGACCTGGTATAAAAGAAAACAAAATAAAACAAAAAGCAGTTTATCCTTTTTCAAGATTGCCTATGGGTTGATAAATGTTGGAACTGGATGTTGAGTACAAAGGGATCTGTATATTATTCTCACTAACTTTACGTATGTTTAAAAGACTTTATTTTGAACAATTATTTTGCAAAAACAGTTTCCCATTTTAGCCCAGCTGAAAAGTCCCACGTGAGACTGATAGGTCCGCCGTTGAGTCACATGACTTGCAAAACCAATCACTGTGGAGATGCTAGCGGCTGGCTGGACTAGATCTGATACCCCATCTTGTAACTGAATATCCCACCTACGAACTCCTAATTTAGACAGTTTTCCAAAGGCAAGGTAGGGCAGCAGGTGGAAACCAGAAGAAAAATGAAAAAGTGCCTGGGATGGCACAATTATAGATCTAGCTGCTATTATTTTTTAAGTATTTGAACCAGAAGGATTTCCATGACTAACACTGGCAAAACACAATTATCAGCTAGCTCAAGAAAAGACAGTATGAGTCACTGTAGCAGTGAAGCTTTATTTATTTATTTACTTACTTACTTACTTATTTTCGGTGAGAAGCAACTATTCTGGTCCAACCATTGTCATCAATATGAACTAGATTTCCTACGTCCTTAATAAATTTCTGTCGTACTAGGGAACACACCTGACCGAAGACCCATTCATCTTGCACACTGCTTCTTTCAAGCTCAACCTTTTTTGTAGGCCTGAACAGCTTTGAAGAAATTTCAGGATCATTTGGAAATTACTTCTTGCTAGCAGAATTTATCATCCTTGGCAGAAATGCCCATTTACTCAAGTCATCTGTTATTGATGAAAGGCAGGCCTCTCTATTGAAGCTCAGAGCACCAACATGAGTGAGCTAGAGAGTGTAGGGTGAGCTTTCATAAATGGTGGCACCTAGCCAGGGCCACTTGTCTGAAAGTTACTGGCTCCCCTTTCTGGCCCTAATACCATGTTCTAGAGGTGTTTCACCTGCTGAATAGCTGTATCCATTTTCTCAATTATGGCCAGTGCTTGGGTCCAGTTCCCTTTTGATGACCAAGTCATACACTAGAGTTGGGTCTTGTGACCTACCTGCTGACAAAGATGAAAGAAGCCTTGGTAGTGTAGCTTGGGCAAATTGCACTCAAGCCCATTCCAAATCCATTCTTTGCCATCACCTCCAGGGTGTAAAACCAGATGGCATGCTTTGTATGTGACAGCCTCCACTTTGCTTTCCTATATAGAGGCAAGTAAGGATGTATGCAACTAGACCACTTAAAGCTATCTTTCTGGGGCCAGCAAGTGGCTTGGTGGTTAAGGTGCTGGACTCTCACATGGCCGAATGTGTTTCAAGTCCCAGACCTGGTGACTTGCTTTCCCACTTTCTCCTTGGAGGTGTGCTCTCTCTCAGGCACTTGTACTCTATAGCAAAATTTAAAAGTAATAATGATAGTGGCCAGCAGGTGGGATGGTGAAGGCACTGGATTCACATGTGAGTCCTGGGCCTAGTAGCTCCCTCTCTCTCTGTGTGTCTCTCTCTGATCTAATTGAGTAAAAATAATAATGATAAATTAAATAAAATTAATAATTCTTTAAAAAGTACTAATAATGAGGGGCTGGCATGTGACATGGTGGTTAAAGGTGCTGGATTCCTACATGGCCAACTATGGTTCAAGTCCCAGACCTGGCAGCTGCTTTCTCGCTTTCTCCTTTTCTCTCTGTCTCTCTCTGTTCAAATTAAAATAATAATAATAAATGGAATTAAGTAAATTAATTAATTTTAAAAAGGATGAATTATAATTTTTTTAAAATGCTGTCTTGCTTATGTTCTAGATATTTTAAAAAATAGAAAAGACATAAAATTAGAAGCAGAGCAGCTTTTTCTGCCTCCAAGATTTTTGTTAGTTTTTCTCAGTAGCATAAATAAGTTATTAGGTTATTTATAGCAGTCCATAACCTTTCGTAGCTCTTCTATCCACAGTGTCCTGGAAAATCTGACCTGGAGAGGCCCTCAGCATAGCCTAGTTTAACCCCGAGTTAGCAGAGGAGGCCATTTAAATGTTTTACGTGAACACTTTTCACGTGTTTTCTCACAGCATCTCATAAACCTGTTCAGCTCATTTTTTCTTCTCAGTATATAAAATCATAAATGTGATCAAAACAATAATAATGGAAGAGAATACAGAAAAGATTGAGCTCAATTATTAATAAAGTATTAAATAATCCAGGAGAATAAGAATAATAACTTAAACATTCAATTCAATCCTTTATTAAATCTAAAGTTTGAGGTAGAATTCTGTCATTACCTAGTCTTACTGTAACAAAGCAGTCTAGTCACCAGCATTCTCAGACTCCCTTTAAAAATGCTTATTTTTGTCCCATTATAAAAGCATAATAATTATAAAAAATTTTAACATAAAAACAAAGGGGACAGAGTAGTCCCTGCGGGCCCACATGTCATAGTGCTAAGTGCACACCACACCCAGTCTTTTTGCTTTTCACATCAGTCTCTTTTCTAGGATTTGCAAGGGCAGTGTACTTAATCAGCCCTGTTTATTTCTGTTTTAAAATTAATATTTAACATTTTCGTAGCTTTATAGAGCTCATTGTATAGTGAGATTAAATATCTCTCCCAGAAAATGGTGTCCAAGCTGAATTCTGGTTTGGATACTGAAGTGAAATCTAAGACTTGACATTGACATTTTGGTGCAGAAGAAAGATGTCATATGTCTGGTTCTAAATCCAAAGGGTATAAAGTTGAAAAATAAAAGTGTAATTATCAAATGTTTGTATGTTCTCTGTTGGTATTTTTCTATACTGAACTTAAAATACAATTTCTAGTTATAAAATAATAGTAATATGATAATGTAATAGTCCAAATTAGCAGAAGCTTACTTCAGCATTTCCCAATTGTTGCATATTTAATGTTATTGTGTTTTACACTGATAAATAACATGCTCTCTACACATAGTGTGGGTTTCTTTTGGAAATTCCTTTCCAATTATCGATATATCCCTGTCCTAAAACCTCAGGGGTGATACTTACTTGGTCAAAAAATAAAATCATTCTTACATTTTATGTACTTCAGAAATAAAATACTACAATAAAAAATCTGTTCTCCAACATGAACTGTGAAATAAGAAGATGATAGGTTTATTATTGAATTTTTAAACCAGATCAAGTATCCAGCTAGGCTTTCTTTATTTTAAAAAAAAGGATTAAATATTATAATACTTTTTCCCCACATCCAGGATAATACACCAAAGTAAGAATTGTACTGCAGGCAGTAACCCTTTGTGATATTCTTCTAGTCCACAAACTATTGCATTCTCTGAAGTCAAGGATTATTACACCAATTGCAAATTATATTGGATATCTGTTATCATAAGATATGCTTAAAATTTAATGCAAGGATTAAAAGACCGGAACGTGAACTTGATTGAGTTTTTCATAGGAATGCAACATTTTTGCCTCTGGAATCCCTGTAATCTTAACATTCTTAGGTTTCCTGCTGTTAGTGTGAAAATTTAATAAAATGAGAATTGGAAACTGGAATTCTCCATTAATTATTTTTGTATTTATTCCCAAGGTTTGCAAGTATCAACATAAAGGTGGAAAGCAGCGAATCCTTCCTGCAGTGAACTACAAAATTCAAAGGAATGTATTTCAGAACCTTACCCAAGAAACTGTATGGACAGTGGTGCAATGACAGCTGTGTTTTATATGTGTGTGTGTTATCACAAAACATGTGGAACAGTCAATAGCCATGCCAGTGGACAGGCGTCTACTTTCAAGAGTTGCTTTCATCCAGGAAGTGCATAGATGTAGCATAGCTCACAAATAATAACTCAGTTCTGTAACAAAGATGATCTGACTTTCTGACTAGAACCAGAGCAAGAAATAAGAACTATATTGCAGTCATATTTGTTTTCATGTATTCCTGTATTCCATTGTGTGTGCGTATATGACATTTGTGTGTGTAGGTATGCATATATGTGCATATGTATATATGTGTATACACACACATCAAGTATTATAAGTCATTGACCTTACATATGCACTGTGATATTTTTCTATTTTTAAAGATTTTTTTTTTAAGATTGGTCAGAACCCATGGTTTGGAATATACTGCTCTCTACCGTCCCACACCAATCCATTTCACCTGCAGATAGTAGCATTACTAGAAATAGCAGTCACGTGGAATAAAGCATTAGTTTACTTCAGTATCTGGGTTTGTGTGTGTGCATTTGATGTTATATGTGTGTGTGGTTTTTTTTGTTGTTGTTGTTGTTGTTTTTTGCATGTGTCTAGTACCATTATATCTCTATATTAAGATTATTACAAATAGGAAGTTTTCCCTGTGTTTTATTTTGCTTTTGTCCAACTGATGGTCTACAATCACAAAAATACAGTTATTTCAGTCATATTTTATATAGGTGCCAGACCTTGAAAAACCCAGACAGGAGATCTGAATTCTGTGATTTCTTGAAGGCTTTTTGGATGCTGGAATTTTAATTATGTAATCATCAATCTTTTGTTCATTAATAACAAACATTTCTCATGACCGTCTTTTTTTCTTAGTTTCCTGTAGGATACATGCACTTGCCAAAGAGAAAGAGTGAGAGATGGTGAATTCCCCCACGGGGGATGGCCACACAGCACTCACTTCTGCTCCACTCCCCACTCTGGAGTTTGACACAAGTGTGCACAGGGCCTGCTGTGTTTTTCAAGTCTCCAGGTATGGATGCAGTCAGTCTTAAGCTCTGTGCACCTGCTGATCCTCTCACAGTCTTAATCCTTGTTAATTATAAATTATATTGTTCCACTAACTTTCAAAATTCACTCCAGACTCCTTTAGTCAGCTCTGATTTTGTTTTTATTTCTTTTTTTTTTTTTTTTTTTTTTTAATGAGAGAGAGAGAGGCAGTGAGCGAGAAGGAGATTTTTGACAGTGTCACTGTATCACAAGCCTCCTGGCCCAGCCTTCCAGATAGCCAGGACCACAGGCATACGCTACCACACGAGCTTGTCAAGTTGGGCCCAAAGTCACATTCAGACCTGAGCAGCACATGCCACCATGGCTGAGCCTGTCTTTTTATTTCTGCTAGCTTACCCTCACTGATGATTGGGGTCCCCCACACGATAACAGCACAAAACAAATAAAACCTAGGCTCAAATTACGATTCATTCCCCGAGTAATTATATGATTCAAACAAGCAATTTAATGTTTTGTTCTCCTTTTGAGATGCGGATATCAATAGAACTTAGCATGAGATGATAGTAGGATAGAGATAAGGATAAAGTTAGACATTCTTTTTTTTTTTTTTTGAGAAGTTTTTGCTATAGGGCATGTACGCTCACCAGAAAGACAGAGAAAGAGAGACAGAAAGCGAGAAATCATTCCCCAGGGACGATGGCCATACCGCAATCCCTTCTCCTCCATTCTCCTCTCGTGATCTTGGGCATGCATGCACATGAGTTTAAGCCACCAGGTCCGGGACTCAATCCGTGGTTGACTACATGGGAGGGAATCCAGCAACATAGGCATTACACCAAATGCTGGTTCCAGAAATTCATTTTTTTTTAAGTTTTTGCCATAGGACATGTGTGGTCACTGGAGAGAGACTGAGGGAGGGAAAGTGAGAAATCACGCCCAGGAGGGTTGGCCACACAATCGCCCTCCTCCATTCTCCTCTCAGGATTTTAGGCACACAAGCTCACACAGCTGGCATGATTTTTAATCCTCCAGGTCAGGGACTTGAACTACAGAAATTCATTTTTTTTTAAGTTTTTGCCATAGGACATGTGTGGTCACTGGAGAGAGACTGAGGGAGGGAAAGTGAGAAATCACGCCCAGGAGGGTTGGCCACACAATCGCCCTCCTCCATTCTCCTCTCAGGATTTTAGGCACACAAGCTCACACAGCTGGCATGATTTTTAATCCTCCAGGTCTGGGACTTGAACTATGACTTGCCATGTGGGAGTCCAGTGCCTTAACTAGCACACCACCTGCCGATCCCCAAGTTTCAGTTTCTTTTATTTTTTTATGTAGAGGTTTTTGCCTTAGAACATATGCACTTGCCAGAGAGAGACAGAAATGGAAGCAAAGTGAGAAATCACCCTCCCTCCGGGCAGAGCATGACCACACCACAATTCTTTCTCCTCCATTTTCCTTCCAGGATCTGGGACATGCACATGCATGTGCCTGGCATGAAGTCAAGACTGGGTCTGGGACTTGAACCATGGTCAGCCATTTGGGAGTACAGTGACATAACCATTACACCACTGCTGGCCCCTTGAAATTCTCAATGTAGCCATGAAGACTTCTCTGATCTAGCTCCCGTGAACCTCTCTACTGTCATTTCCCACCCAAACGGGGATCGTGCAGCTACTTCTCACTGCAGAGGAGACTGGGAAGAGGGTGTCAGGATAGATGCAGACCACTTGTGGATTTGGGATGTCTCCATGGAACAAAACCAAGGATCTTTTCACAAAAACAACAAAAAAGAGTAAATAGGAAAGCAAGTGAAATTTGCTATGGGAATCTTTGCCTGCATATTCTCCTTGGCCATGATTGTATTAAGTGTCGGTTGTGATTTGTGGAAGGAGTTTTTGGTTTTGTTTGGTTTGGTTTTAGGATTAAAATTAATATAAATAGGATTATTTAAACTTCCTTTCCAAAAATTTTTGAAATCCCCTTTCCCCTACAGAAGCATGAGCCTCCTTCCTGATGGAGAAATACTACGTTAGAATTTCATCCCATTCAGCATGTGAAAACAGGTCACAGAAAGTCTCTTTATCGTGAAATAAAACAAAATTTAAACACCCTGAACGACAGACCTTAAAAATAGGAGCATTCAAATAATTTAGGGAAAATATAATTATCTTTTTCTTTAGTATTATTAGTAAAAAATAAGTCAGGAATTTGTAGGAAGAATCCCAGTGCTTGGTTTCTGTGCCTGCTTTTTCACAGATAGTTACTTTTTATCAAAACGTCAATGACAATATTGAATCTAGAAAGATACAGTACATATTTGACTAGGAGCACATCTGCCAAAGTCTTCATTTTCGGTACATAAATAATTTCAGTCCCTTTAGGATGAATTTACTATAAGAAGATGTAGTTGGGGGCTGGTCAGTGGGTGTGGCGGTTAAGGCGCTGGGCTCCCACATGACTGAGGTGCTTAACGCGCTGGGCTCCCACATGACTGACCGCAGTTCAAGTCCTGGACCTGGTGGCTTGCTTTCTGACCCCCCCCCCATCCCCTATCCCTCGCTGGCCAAATCTAAATAAAGTTAAGTAAAATAATTCTAGAATAAAAAAAAAATTATTTAAAAAAAATGATGCCATAGCTGGGCTTAGTATGGGAGGAGAAGGTTGATAAGACAGATTATTTTACAAAAGGTTGAGATTCAAGAGCACAGACTCTTACATTGAGTAACAAGATTCCAGCCCACCGGTTTACCTTTGAAGGATATGCTTGTGATGTTACATGAGATCATAAAATGTTGGCGCTGTATCAGCTGGTCCAGTGCTCTAGACCTCACTATGGAAACTGAAATCAGAGCTGCTGGCCTGTCCAGCTCTACTTAGCTAGCTAAGGGCAGGATCAGAGCCAGCCTTAACTGTGACACTGTATAAAGCAGGCACACGCGCATTTTTTTCTTTGTAGAGCAAAGGATGGCAGAAACATCACAGAACCATGCACATGTATGTTCATCTCAAAGCAAAGAATGGCAGACAAGCCGCCTGCTAGAATCATCATCTCTCCCTCCCTCCCTCGAAAGGAGCACATCGAGGAGCCTGGCAAGGCAAGAGCTGTGTCAGGGAGAAGTGAACATTTTCCTTCTGAACTCCTGGAGCCTAGTCCAGGAGACATACCAGCTCAGGAGGTTAGCCTCAAGACAAGGAGCAGTGGTGAGCTCCAGAGCTCCTTGCCACTGTCCGGCTATGCTGACCTTAGATTTGTAGCTCTGTCAGCTTTTCAAAATCGATGATAGAGAGTTAAACAGCAAAGATACAGAAAAGGCAGAAGAAGCATTACTTTCCACTTCTGTGCACACACAGAAATAAATGAAAATGACAGTAGAAGCGCTGGACCCTAATCAGGATAGAAGGTCCTGCAAGTACAAGAACAGCAAGAGTGAAATTTCTTACCAAGTTGAGTGTGTGGGATGCCCATGGGTCCAGGAGCGCATCATCAGTGCAGAAGCAGAGACAGCACAATATGCTCGCTCTGCTCCAGATTCTCGAGAAATTGTGCTGCCTTGCTGAAGATTAAAAACAATAGGCTAAAACGTGCCGGGCACTTGTACATGCATGTCCAAAGTCCTGGTAGGAGAGAGAAGTAAAAGAAAAGGATTGTGCCATGACTGCCCCGTTGAGGTGAGGTTTCTCTCTCTCTCCATCTCTCGCTATTTCATGTACCCTCTGGCAATTAAAAAAAGAGGGAGACTAAAACTCCTACAAAGAAATCCATACTGCATGTCCCTGCAAGCTTGCACAAGCAAGTTTTTAGAACTTACTGCTTAGAGGAGCGGTTCCCAAACCTTAGCATATACCAGAATTACCTAGAAGGCTCGGCAGGACTTAGATTGTTGGTTCCAAACCAGTTTCTAATTGAGTAGGTTTTCGGTAGTGCCCTAGAATTTGCATTTCTAGAATTCATGTTTCTAGGTGATGCTGATATTGATGAGCCAAGGACCACCCTTTCAGAATTTCTGCTCTGTCATGGGCAGATAGCAGCTTGCAGACCCAGAGGGGCCCTCACCGGACTATAATTTGGATATCACAAGGCTGAAATGAACAGTATTAACAGCCTCTAAAGATATTGCAGAATCACTGTTCTATTGATTGTATTGACTTTTAACTTAAAATTCTCACTTTTTGCTTCATCTGTGAACATTAATTTGGGCCCCGTAAGCCTTTTTCCTTTGGCCACATGGCATGACAGCAGAGGGTGGCTGTGATGGAACACTCTAGAGAGATACCTCTCCATGAGCAGGTTTTATGAGGCACTCTCGAGGGTGGATTTCTGCAGAATTCCGGAGAACAGATCTCCAGCCAGCTTTCCCAGTAGGGTTCCGGGAGCTACTTCAGCTACTCTCTGGCAGTCAGAGAGTCATGGCAGAGCCTGTCCCACAAGGTCTGGCTCCCCTTACTACACACTGAAGCAGGTGAGAGATTGGGGGATCTTCCTTAGGGTGAGTCATCTCAGTCACCGGGGTGTGGATATGGCTGTTCCTTTTCTCAGTCTTCTTTAGAGTTCTCTTCTTATTAGCCTTTGTGCATATCTTATTTATCTAATAAATATCTAATTCTATTTCTTTATTAGATGATATATTAATATGTATTTGATATTATTGTTTTATATTCTATGAATTTAAAAGATATATAAATAAATACAGTTTATATATTTCTATGTAATTATAATTTATTAAATTTATATAATTACTTATTAAATTTTCTAAATAATTGATTTATGTTAAGTAAAGAGCTGGAGTTCATTCTTTATATTAAACTTTTTCTATATTCACTTTTTTGTGCCTTCTTGCTCTAGAGTAGACTCAGGCTAATATAACTATGGGCTGTACTGTCCGATTGGTTTATAGGAGATGAATTCAGGCAACTACACTGCTGCTTTTTCTCTCTTTTTACTTTTTTAAATGTTTGCCATCCCTTGTTTCTGGGATATCATGCATGTACCCTTTGCCTATAACAAAAAACATTTTAGCCAATCAAAAGTGCCACAGAGTGCAGTCTTTTGACCTTACCTTTTCTCTTTTTTTAAAGAATTATTTTATTTAACTTTATTTATTTTTTTTTAATTTGACTAGAGGGGAACAGAGAGAGAGAGAGAAAGTGAGAAACCAAGCCACCAGGTCCAAGACCTGAACCACGGTTGGCCACATGGGAGTCCAGCACCCTTAACCACCACGCCACCTGCCAGCCCCACCTTTCCATACCTTTTCTATTGTGTTGTCAGGAAAGTCATGACATATTTTCCTATGCAAAAAATGCATCATTAGTTTTCCAATGACCCAATATATGAAACATTTAATGGGTTTCCTAAAG